GGACCCTCTGTTGCTTTTTACTGCCCTAAGTGTCTCATAGAAAGCCATTCTCCTTCTGCGTCTTCTGTTTGTCAGACTTTCGCAGTCAGGGCATGTAAGGAGAGGCATCATAGATTGCAGGTGTTCCTGATTAAGGAACCACTTGCTGCTAAACCATCAGGCTCTGGGAGATCATCTAATCCAAAGGCTAATAGGTCTGTTTCATCTCCCACTGCCTCATCTAGTAAGGCATAAGATGCCTAAAGGATCCAAGTATGTCGGTTCTGGCTCCTGTTACCATCTCATCAGATCCTCCTGTTAAAGCTACCCGAGTGTTGAAGGCCCTGTCTGTTCAATTGACAGCTAAGGACCCTGTGATTAAGCTGTCTGTTCTGACTGTCGCAGTTCCAAATTAAAAAGGGAAGGAGAAGTCAGTCACTGTCAGCAGTGCCAAATGTTGTGGATCAGATTTATTGGTTCCGTCTCATTTGGATATGTTTTCTGCGGTTCAGTCTCTGAGACCTAAGTCTGTTCTGCATTTGGCTTCACGTTTCAGGATTACAGAGTTGAGCCCCTCTCCAGAGCTGATGATCCCTAAGCCTGTCAGACCAGCACCATTGCCTGAATTAACTCTGGTGCCAATGTCTGATCGGAAGAAGACTATTATTGTGCTGGCATGTTCTCATTCTGACATCTGACTGTTCGTTGGATCCAAGTGAGAGATTGCTCAGAGCGAGAAGGAGGAAGCCTTCATTGGTTCTGAGAGCTAAATCCCTTTCACCTGAAAAAAGGTGTAAAATGGAAGATATTGTGAGTCTTTTCACAGAGCCATCTTTGCCTCTCTCTCCTAAGACTTCTTGAGGATCGCTAAACAGATCCTTCTCAGCTTTTAGGCATCCTCCAGTGCTGTTGCTATCTCTGGTGAGATCAGTAGTGGAATAGAGGTTGGATCCATGGTTAGAAGAGGATAGAGGGAGAGTTAAAAGATCTGAATTGTCCATATTCATGCCACCTAAGTATGGATTCCCTCTACCTCTTGGACAGTTTCTGCTGCCTCATCCTATGTATATGTTCCCAGGTCCCAATTATTGGAGAGGCTGACAGGACTTATTGGGCTGTGCTGCAAGAGTTCTTGAGTCATCCTCCGTATGGATGAAGTAGTGATATTCCAACTAATAAGGATCTGTCTTCTGGGGAATCTTTGGATCTGATTCCACCGGATCTGTCTGCAGCTCACATGGTGGTGCCTGACACTTTCTAAGTAAGAGAATGAGGAGTTACGTCCTCTTTTTGAGCATGATTAGGTGGGTAAAGAATTTGAACCTAATTTTTCAACTAATGAGCATGTGGGTGTTGCTTCTATGTCTTCTCCTTCTGAGGATGCTTTACTAGTCTATGAATCAGTATATCGTATGGAATCTACTTTGAATTTGCCTTCAGT